AAATTACGTCATTTTTGTACAAGTAATAAAGAAAAAGCTAAAATAATGGTGTCTAAAAATAATAATAAAAAGAAACAGTTAAAAGTTACTAGCAGCAGCAGCAGCGGTGGCGAGGCGGTGATTGAGAGAAATACCACAAAAAACACGTCAATAAAACCAGTCAAAACGCAACAACAACAGCAGCAAGATTTGGTCACATCATCACAATCAACAAGCGGCGCTACACAGGCGCATATGAAGTCCCAAACACAGATGGAGTCTCACAGTGAGGAGATTTCAGAATCAATGCAAGCTTATAGCAGTGTGGGCGGTGTGAGCAGTGGTAATGTTGCAAGTATGGAGGAATTCGAAAGTAGTAAATCGAGCAAGCAAAATATAACAGAAAGTAAAACAAAAAATTCATCCATGTATTCAACAAAATCTCAACACTATAAACAGATCTCCAATGACTTTTCCAATGAGAAAATCATATCGTCCATCGATCTTATTGAATGTGAAAAAGGGGAACCGGTCTTTTCCGTACCGATCGATGTAATCGAGATCGGCGCTAGCACTAGCAGCAGCAGCATGAAGAAAATGATGTACTCTTCGTCATCATCATCCCAAACACAGGCAATGGCTAGCAGCTCAACACTCATACATTCCGAATCAACAGGTAGCAATGCCGGCGTCAGTAATGAAATCGAAATAATTTGGCCGCAAGAAATTACAAATAAAATGACATCATCATCAGCAACATCAACATCAACACTAAAAACAACTGACCAAGCGAACCTTGTCACCAGTAGTCGAAGTGCGAATGTTGATTTTGCGCAGGTTGACGCTGCAGCCACACCAAATATGTCCAAATTGCCAATACAAATAAGTGGTGGTGGTGATGTATCGTCATCCGTGACGTCATCAACTTTACAAACAACTGATGCAAACAATACGACGAACACATTATCAAAACAAAGTCATATAAACCAGACTAGCAGCAGCAGCAGCAATACCAACAGCAACAAGCTCAAGACCACAACGAGCAACACGCAAATTTCGGAGAGCGCTTCGAAGCAGAGCAGTACAAGAGAAACGAAATCAATTTCGAAAAAAGAGATTTATGATGAAAAGACAAAAACATGGACTGAGTATAATACGAAGAACGCTACAAATAAGAGAGTGCCAACACTAGAACGTTATGTGAGTCGTGAATCCGATGGCACATATAAAATAACATATAAGAAAAAAATTTACGATCAACGCAACAACAAATGGAAAATAATTGAAGAGAAAACTGTTGATAGCGCTCATGATACTGGTTACCCCGAAATAGTCGATGATGTCATTAATACAACGACAACAACATATACGACAAAAGTCTACGATACTAAACTTGGTACGTGGAAGGTTGTTGATGAGAAGTCGTTCGTTGATACAAAAGCATTTGTACCAAACGAAATCGTACAAGAGATCGAAAAAGATAACACCGATGTTGCGAATATCACAACAACAACTGAAGTGACCAAGGTATAGTATGAAATAAAAAGTTTGTAGGTTAATATATGTTCTAACGGCACATTAGACGGCATGGCATTAGACTCTGTCTGTTCTGTCAACTTCCTTGTAGTACGTGTCCATCGGTGCTTGAAGAGGAAACATCGGAGCATCTAATCTATCTATGCCCCCAGCCTTTTTTAGACTCAGGTTTAAGCTATTATGCGCCCCATTTTTTAAAATGCTCAGTAATGTTTCCAACATTAGTATTTACCAGACATTTATATTTATCACTATGTTTAGGTTTGTCCAGAACCAGGGTAAAGCTATTGGGCGCCCTATTCTTTAACGCACTCGGTAATATTCCAATGTTAGTATTGGGTAATTACTGCATTTATGAGTATCTCCTGGTTTGTTCAAAACCAAGCTTAAACTATTTGGAACCTAACGCACTTATTTTTTAATACATAAGCTGATATTTCCAACATTAATATTGGTAAGCTAATTTCATTTATCAATGTGTCCAAGTTTGTACAGAACAGGGTTTAAGATATTGCGCGTCTCATTTACTAATATTTTCGGTGATTTTCCAACATTAGTATTGGGTAACTACTTGTATTTATAAGTAAATCCAGGTTTGTCCAGAACCAGGGTTAAGTTGTGGGCTTCCCATTCTTCAAAACATTCTGTGATATTTTTAAAACTAAAGTTGGCAAGATAGTTGCATTGATCAATATGTCCAGAATTGTTCAGAACCAGACTTAAGCTAATAGGCGCCCCGACCCTTTCTTTAAAACACTCGGCAATATTTCAAACATTCTTTCTATCCACAATTAAGAGTGATTATTAAAACGCTTTTCGTAAGTAATTGAGGATGATTCGTTCCATCTTTCTCTTCTTCTTCATCTACCTTTATCTTTAATTAAATTAAATAAAAATTTGGTTAGTCAATTAGTCAATTTACATTCGAGTTTCTTCTTATGTTTGTATGTGTGAATGCATCAAACTTTCTTAATGAATTTAAATTGAAGTAATAAACAATCTTCTTCAAAACTTAATGAATTCAATGGATTTATTGCATGAGAAGGAAAATATGTCATTGCGATCGTTGATTTCTCGACTACTGAACTTGTTTCAATTTTATTTTATTTTTTTTTTAAATAAAATTTTTTTCCTTTTAACATGAAAGTAATACAAGTCATCGAAACAACTTTTGCATTAAGTAAAGTTTTTCCAAATAAAGTCAAAAAATGTTGTAGTTTCACGTACTTGACATTATTTGTGGAGGCATACATTATTTTCAAAAATCTCGTTTTGCATAAAAAACAAATTTTATTTATTTTGAGAATGACATCACTAAATTTTCCAATTGTATTTACTAAAAAAGAGACAACATATTCCATTTAACTTATTGATCGTCCTTCAACATTTCTTGAAGATCACTATGAGATCACCTACAATCCATGGTGAACAACTAGTCATCCAAGTGTAGTGAAATAGGTTGAATTAGTTAGTACTCAATGTTACATAAATTTTCCTCACCTATATGGTCATGCATATGACCTTAGGGATATCTTTTAGTGATATCTGGTAACCGGTAAATTCATGGTTAAATGTGTTGAACTAATTGATATTCAAAGCTGGCGCGTACATTCCACATGTCCACATGCATATACCCTTAGCCCATTAAATGGGTAAATGGGTTAAATTAGTTGGCATTTAATGCCGCATATATAGACTCTTGGTTAGGAGATCGGTAGTGATTTAGTCTAGCAGGTGATTGCCATGGTCATACATAGATAGTAGTTTGGTCTAGCATTGCGATGTTCACGCGTAGATCCCATATATCCTTAGAGATATGTTTTAGAGATATGGTGAGATATGGCATTAAGTATGTCACATTTGTTCTTGAGACATTTTTTAGAGTCGTGGATAGGAGATCCGCAATGGCTTGATATAGCAAATGGATTGCGGATGGCTACGCATGGACTCTATATGTGATTATGTCATTAGTGGTATCTTTTAGAAATGTGAAAGGGAACTATTTCGTATTGAATACTCACCACATGTACTTAGCGATATTTTTTAAAGTTGTAAGCAGGAGATTCAGCAGTAGTTTAGTGTAGATTCCCATGCATAAACCATTGCGGTCTAATTGATGTCTATTAGAAACATATTAAGACCAACTGTGTAGGTTTAATCTAACAACTGAAATAGAATTTTATAATTAATATATCTGTCAATATCTGTCACTGACTTATTTTATTTAAAAAAAAAACTTTCTTTAGTATACTCAATATTTTATTTTATGAATAGACCTCAACCTCCCTGACAAAAACATAACTTTCTTTATTGAAACCAGTAGTAAATTTGCTTAAGAGCGTTAATATCTATTATTTACACAAATTAATTTCTAAGAAATTAATTTTTTTCCAAGAAATGGTTTAATGGTTACCATAGTTTTTTTTATAGTTTTAAGGAAATGATTAATATCTATGGTTCACCTATGATATAGTCAAATAACGTATGATTTCTAACAATAGAACTCTTTTAAATAGATTACAAATTTATAATATTTTATGACTCCTTATATCATAATTCTTTTTAATAAATTAATAATTTTAATCTTAATAACTTAAGCCAGCTTCCATGAAAAAAATTAAGTTTCTTAGAAAAAATTATTATAAGTGATTGTAAGGTATATATTTGTAATATGGGATTGTGGTTTGTATTAGCCTAGGGAAAACCTGTAAAATGTTACTCGGTTCCAAAGCACTTAAGAATGCTAGCTGGGTTTAAAGTTTGTCAATTATTTCTCATATATGGTATATGTATTAAGTATTTTTCCAGATATTTTCGTCTTTTGTACATCAATGCATTAGTGCATCACATATTTATAGAATGTATTCAAATGGTAGTAAGCGCTGTATCTGCACTTAAGGTTTCTTGTGCTTAGATGATTACTGAGACACAGTGGCTATTCGTTTGAGGATCAAGTATCGCTTATTTTATAACAAAGAATCTCTTATTTTAAGAATAAAACCAAATTTATAAACACATTAATTTACATTAATAGTTTACATTAATAATTTAACCGCCAGTTAAATTAATTAGTGTATATTTATCACTTAAGATCTTATCACTACATATTGTCATTTTACTATCTTAAACATAATACATACAAATTTAGAAAATATAAAATAGGTTCTATTATGCGTTAGATCTACAGGGTGTTTTTTTAAGAGGCGTCTGAAAAGCAATGAAAGCAATTAAGGCTAATAAGTCAAAATATTTATGTTCAACATATAATTCTATGGAATTAATACCCAAAAATAAAAAAGAGACAATCAGTTTAATGTTAGATAAACATCTTTTGGAAACTTCAAAATGTTATTAATATTAATAATATTATTATTGAAAATAAAAA